GCCTGCTAGCAGGTACCAAATTGCTTTTGGGGGGGGGCGATGAAAATAAAATGTGCCATTAGAGAGTGGTGATGATTGTATCATCTTGTAAATATAATAAAAACCACTGATGGTACGCTTTAAAAGATAGAAATGTGAATTATAGCTCAATGTTTAAAAAGATCTGGGGCTTCAGAATCAGACCATCTGAGTTCAAATTCCACCCCTGCTGTATCCCAGCTGTGTTACCTTGGATAAGCTAATTATCCTCTTTGAGACCCAGCTGCATAGTGTATAAGGAAGGAAGATAGGGGCGCCTGGGTGGCTCAGCACCCGGCTTCGGCTCAGGTCATGATCTCACAGTCTACAAGTTCAAGCCCCCTGTCAGGCCCTGTGCTGACAGCTCAGAGCCTGGAGCCTGCTTTGGATTCTGTGTCTCCCTCTCTCTCTTCCCTTCCTCTACTCGCACGCGCCTCTCTCTCTCAAAAATAAACATTAAAAATTTTAGAAAAAAAAAGGATGATAAAAGTGCCTATATCATAGGTTTGTTGTGAGATTAAGTAAGATAATCTTTGTAATATGCCGGGTGCACTATAATAAGTGCCAATAAATGTTCACAGCTAATTGTGAATCCAACCATTTTCAAATTTCAAAATGCATGAGATGGGGCACCTGGGTGGCTCAGTGGGTTAAGCATCCGACTCTTGGTTTCAGTTCAGGTCATGATCTCACAGTTTCGTGGGTTCGAGCCCCACACAGCCTACTTGGGATTCTCTGTTTCCCTCTCTCTCTACCCCTCCTCTCTCTCTGTCTCTCTCTCTCTCTCAAAATAAATAAACTTTTTAAAAAAATGCATGAGAATCACCTGGGGAGCTTGGTAAAATGAATGCCCTTAGATTTTCAGATTTATAAGCCTAGAGTGTGGCTCCATAATCAGCATTTTTAATAAGCCTTAACACTCTGATACTGATGGTCTGGAAATGATACTATAATAAATACTGTTCTATACTCTTGAAAAATGGAAAAATTGATACACAAATGTTTTAAGAATTATGTGTTAGCTTCCCACTTAGGATGTAGAAAACTGGAAAGAACATCACTCCTACCATTACACCAAGAAAAAGAAAAGTTGAATAATCTGCAAATTCACCTTTCTTGACCCATCAGAGATCTGGGACTGAAAGACAGTCAGCTAACCCCAAACCCAAGGAAACTACAGGAACCTCCAGAGAGAGACAAATATAAGCACTTGATTACCTGGGGCCAATGCCGCTGGACCCAGATAAGACGAATTCAGCTAAAAATTTCAACAAATTGGCACACCTGTGTGGGTCAGTCTGTTAAGCATCAGACTCTTGATTTTAGGTCAGGTCATGATTTCGTGGTTCATGTGATTGAGCCCCATGTCAGGCTCTGCACTGAGAACATGGAGCCTGCTTGGAATTCTCTCACTCCCTCTCTCTCTGTCCCTCTCCAGTTCATGTGCTCGCTCTCTCGCTCTCTCTCTCTCTCAAAAATAAATATATAAACAAAGAATAAAAATCAACAAAAATTTCAACAAATTGCTAAAGGCTGAGCTTAGACCAGCAAGAGGCTATAGAAACCCTTGGGACACAGACAAAGGCAAATTCACACCCTCTAACAGGTTTTCCTCCACAGACCTCATTAAGGATACACAAAAAAGAGGGGCGCCTGGGTGGCGCAGTCGGTTGAGCCTCCGACTTCAGCCAGGTCACGATCTCGCGGTCCGTGAGTTCGAGCCCCGCGTCGGGCTCTGGGCTGATGGCTCAGAGCCTGGAGCCTGTTTCCGATTCTGTGTCTCCCTCTCTCTCTGCCCCTCCCCCATTCATGCTCTGTCTCTCTCTGTCCCAAAAAATAAATAAACGTTGAAAGGATACACAAAAAATATGGAGAATAGGACACGAGTCTTCAGGCAGCATCCTATGCGCTGCAGGCCTGGGAGAAAGAAGTAGCAGACACTGTGGGAAATGTCTGAAATTCCACTTAGATTCTTATCTCCTATCAAATCTAGCTTGGAAATATTGGCAGAAGGGCAACAAACCCTGTCAATCCTAGGACACTGGTGAAAAGCTATTGTAGCTGGGGAAAGGCAGGGGAGCAGCTCTATAGTCTTGGGAAGGAGCAGGAATATGTTCTGGACCCAGACCTATAGTTAAAGGTAAAGGAAAACCACTAAGAAAGCACCACCTCCAAGATGTAGAGACACAAGACCTGGCTACAATGGAGACTTAATCAGAACTTCAGAGAATGCTCCCCACCCCCCACCAGGCTAATAAGCATCTAGTAACTACTGATAGTACTCTACTGCTGAAAGAGGTGCAAAATCATGGTGAGAAACCCCATGGAAGCACAGGGCAAAAGGAAGATCTACACCCAAAGGTAGAGCAGACACCGTGGGGAGAAAACCTTCCAACAAACCAGCCACCACCCTAAACACCAGAGAAATTTAAAAATTTTTAATGTTTTTATTTATTTTTGAGACAGAGAGAGAGGCAGAGACATAGGGAGACACAGAATCTGAAGCAGGCTCCTGACTCTGAGCTGGCAGCACAGAGCCTGGCACAGGACTCGAACTCATGGACCACAAGATCATGACCTAAACTGGTCAGACACTTAACCGGCTGAGCCATCCAGGCGCCCAACACCAAAGGAGTTTAAAACTGTGTTATAATTAAAGTAACCATAGCAACGACAAATCCCAAACTGGTTTCCAACTCTTAATTAGGCTGATTCAACCCTCCACACTAAATGCTAAGAATAGGAAAAAATGT